AAAAACTTCCAAGCATTTTCATAGTGGTTCCATTCCACAGATAATCTTCAAAAGATATTGGTGGTGAAGGTAGGACAGCAAATTAGCCCATAAGTGAGAGATCACAGGGACCCTGTTTGGCTTGCAACCTAGAAAATTTTATGCAGCTGGGGGGATTAGGGCTTGAATCTTGGAATTTAAAATTAAGCAATGGATAGTAAAACTAATCTCTGGCATTTTAAAACAATTTATTTGAGAATTCTTAAATAACCTTCCATTATTTCTTAGCATCACTCTACTAGAGAAGTCCCTAGTCACAGTGATGTCACTAAGGCATTTCAGAAATCCAAGGCATCTTCCCAGCAAAGAGTTATGGTGTCCTTTAGTTTGTGTGGTGTCATAAAAGAGCTCTTGTCTTGAAAGGGCCCAAGAGCTCTTATTGGTATTGGGTTCCTGTCTTATCTGCCCTATTGCTTACTTTGTAAGTCTTAAGTCAAGTATCAACCTGGGTTTAAGCAGGCTATGATTATAGTTTTTATATTCAACCTAAATATCTCTTCACCATTTCTTCAAAAGTAATAATGTATGGGCCTCCCCGGTGGCACAGTGGTTGAGCGCTGGGTTACGAAGCTGCCCGCGGCCTCTGCAGCGCCGGTTCGATCCCCGGCTGCTCCCCGGCCACCAGAGGAGGGTCCCACATGGCGCGCAGACCTCTTCTGCTGCCCGCTGCTCCCCTCAGCAGTGTACTTCGGTCCTTCTGCCTGCTCTGCTCCCCGCTCTGGCTCTAGTGAATTCTCTCACCCTCCCGTGCTTCTGACTATACCCAGTGCATGTATAAACAAACAAACAAACAAATAAATAAATAAATAAAACATGCCTCTATTAAAAAAAAAATTAAAAAAAAAAAAAAAGTTCCAAAAGTAATAATGTATGAATGGTATATATGGCAGTTCTGGCTTAAACATGGGTGAGCCTTTTCTTTACCACTCTTCCTGAGACTTTTACTGTATTCATTATTCCTTAAGAAAGTAATTCTTATAGGGCTTCCTTGGTGGTGCAGGGGTTAAGACGCAACCTATAAAGCTATTCGCAGCCACTGTAGCACAAGTTTGATCCCTGGCCAGGGAGCTACCCACATGGTGCAGCAGACCTCCCCTGACTTGCCCGCTGCTCACCTCAGCAGTATATTTTAGTCAATCTGCCTGTTCTGTTCCACACTGTCTCTGGTGAATCCTCTCCCCTCCACCCCCACCTCTGGCCCATATCCCAGTTCTTGTATGCATAAAGAAATAAATCTTTTTTTTAAAAAAAGTAATTCCTATAGAAGTTGGTCCCTAATGTGTGAAAAGAAAAATGAAACAATTTATTTGAGAGCTGTGCTTCTCAGCTCTTACATTACTAAGCCCCCTTAAGTGAACATAAATGTTAACAACCTAGTTATACTCACCCTTCATCATCTTCCACATTAGGAAAAATAGCATAGTGATTAAAAACTCTTACTCGTTCCCTTACTTCAGTGCTATTTAACTTCTCTAATTAATGGTTGTTTCCTTTAATCTATAAAGTGATATTAGTTGTTGAAGAGATAATGAGATTATACATATAGAGTTAGCCATTGTAATTATATATCATTACCTTGTACTTCAGCCACAGAAATTTATTTTAGCTTTATTTTCTGTGGTTCTAATATAAATAATTTTTTCAACATGTTAAATTATTACTTCTTTTTCAAATTGCACATGCTTTCTCTTTTTGCCCCCATTGAGAATCAAATCTTTCTGAAAAACATACCAACCCCTATGAGTCTCATTTTTGTTCCTCTTGGACCTTTAAACCATGAGTGGTAAAGATATTTATTTCCCATGTTATAAAACATTTCAATTGTCTTTGTAATATTTTCTAACAGGCTGGTTATAAGAAGAAATTATGGAAAAAGACGGCTGCAAGAAAAAAACGCTTAAGGGAATTTGTGTTCTGCAATAAAACTCAGAGCAAACTCTTAGATAAAATGACGACATCTTTCTGGAAGAGGAGAAACTGGTATGCTGATGATCCTTATCAGAAGTATCATGATCGAACAAACCTGAAAGTATAGATCACTTTCATGATTCCTAGTTATTAAATATGTATGTAGACCAGTGTCTTTGCAAAAGTAAGTATGAAATGATATAAATTGTACCAGCTGATATGGAAACATGCAGTACCTTATTAAAGTTTTAAAACTTAATGGATTAAACGTTTCCAGATTTGTTCAGGGAAATAGTAGTTTAAAGTTGCTGGGTTTTGGTTTTGTTTTTTTTTGTTTTTTTTTTGTGGGACCCTTGCCAGCGGCCGGGGAACAAACCAGCACTGCAGAGGCTGCGGGCAGCCTCGCAGCCCAGCGCTCAACTGCTGCGCCACCAGGGGAGGCCCAAGTTGCTGATTATTTTTAACAAGTGGTAATGGCCTAATTAGTTGTTTTACTAGGCTTATTTAGTTGCAAGGGACCTCAAGTTAGAACAGACATAAAAAGACTATTTAACTACCAAATTCACTTAAGCAGTGGGACATTATTTTAAGGTTATGTACCTGGTTGCTCATAAACCTCTTCACTACCTCAGCTCCATCCCAACATTAACCCCAGACCTCAGGAAGAACAGAAATTGGCCAGTTGACCTTAGTCCAAGGCACCTACAGAAGCTTCAACAGCAAGAATTATTTGCTCTTTAGGCTTAGGGTCTGCCATGCATGTGACTTGGTTCTTTTTATGTCGTTGGCTCCATTCTCTACTTACCCACCTGTAATTCACAGCTTTTGCTTGCTCATAGTTTTTGTTCCCTCATAATAAGTCTAGCTTTCACAAACTTGCAGGTTTTCTACCTCATGACTTGAAACGCCTGTCTCCGGTTGCTCGTTAACAGGAAGACTCTTAATAGGACCAGCTTATCTTTTAATGCCAGGTCTCATCAGGGATCACCAACCAGGGTAGTGATTGGCTGCTCTTAGGTCAGGAGTGTGTTCTTGCCCACTTGGTTGTGGTTAGCAGGTTCGTAGGGAGCAAAAAATGGTTCTGTGAGCAGTTTCTCTTAGAGGTGAGCATGGGACGCCAACACACATCTAGTATGCTGGCTTCATTGTGTTCATAACAGTTCTCTGTTTATCAGAACAGGGTGTTTTATACAGAAAAAAGTAAATGAAATAGTTTTTCAGTGTGCCATTCGTGAAACAGAAGAGGCTATACAAGTGAAGACACAAACTTTACCCAAGCATTGAAAGATAATGTATCTTTAAAAGTTAATTTTACCAATATCAAAATCAACAAACAGCTATGAACCAGAGACACTCTATGTGGGCTTGGGGGGCAGGGAAAGGAGGGATTGGGGTCAAAATAAGGGGGTTGTAATTGTATGGGGAATATAAAAATAAAATTTAAATTAAAAAAAAAAGTTAATTTTACCACTTAAGATTTCATACTTTTGACTGTGAGGATAATTTTTTCCCCAAAATTTCCAGAGATGTATTATAGAAACCTAGAAGAAAGAGCAATATCAGTCACTTTAGAACTGATGCAAGAGTTATTTAGCATTGTTCACTTGGGGAGAGGTAGGTTAGAGGCATTGAGGGAAATTCAATCCACTGAATGGTTTCAGACTAGGTCAGTGATTCTCGGCTCTCCCATCAGAATCATTGGGAAACATTTTCAAACAATAGAGCACTTTGGTTGAAAACCATTATTAAATAGAATTAAACATCAATTACTATTTCAAATTCTTCAATAACAGTTGATGATGATAAAATGTAGTTTCTATTGTTAGTAGAGTAAGTAAAAGATAACTAAATCAAAATCCTGTGGCATGTCAGACTAGAAGAATTCCTTGAAATCAGTGTATGTTTATTAAAAAGAAAAGGGGAGGGGGGTGGGCAGTAGAGTGCTTTAAAACTAGAAGAACCAGTTAAATATCAGACATTTGATTTGGATAAGGTCTGTGTCAGTGGCCTCAGAGCACCTTGGTTTCTCATCTAGGCCAGGGACTTCCAACCAGGCCTCAGCATCCAGAGATAGACTTAAGTGAAAGGGGTGACAGGCACATGATTTAGGGCATGGGGAATTTTCATACAGATAACTTGTTTTGTGGGTAGTGGAGCTTATCGACACTAATTGTATAGTTTGACAACAAAACATCTTTCAATTAAAGGTCTACCTACATGATATCCAATATGTATATAATTTGTTAAACACTCTCCATGTCCCAACATAGGCCTGGGCCTATGTCTACAAAACTGACCTGCATACTAACCTTACAGAGTAGTTATTGATCATCCCTAGCTTAGATTTGAGGAAACTGAAGCCTACAGTGAATTAAATTACCTAAAATATAGCTAACAAGTCATAGACTCCAGATCTAACTCATTGGACTCTTGTGTATTTCCTTTAATCTTTTAACAAAATGAAAAATCATATCTAAATCAAGTATCTGTAATCCAGCACTATAAATACTAAATACTTATTCATGTCACTTGTACTGAGTTAGCTTTTAAATTTTGTAACTTTACTTTCCTGTTATTTGTCAGCTCTAAACCTGGCTAATCTCTGTCTTATTGACATTGGACTTTCTTCTTTCTTTTCATCTCTTCATCCTTCCTGTCTTCTGAATCTCCTTCTTTACTGGCTATTGTTTTATTTTATAGTCCTCATGTAAAATATAAAGAATACAGGCCCATAAAGACAAAGAACATGAGTGTTTGATTTTGAGTTTCCAAGTTTTTTCAACTAGCAATGAAGTGTACCTGTGCCTGTCCATATTTCAAAGGCAAGGGCTACAGTGGTGGTAAGGTCATCCATACCACACAGTGTACCTCCACACGCACCTCGCTTTTATGACCTGCAAATGTGCATGTGAGGAAACAGATTCCAAGAAGGAAAACAATGGAACAGAAAGGTCTGTTGGCAGAGTTAAAACTGCCTCCCAAATAAATTACCAGGTTTCCATTGGTGACCTTTAAAATGTAAAACACACGACCACATTCAGATTTATGTGATCTAGTAGTTTTAAAACATATATTTAATTTTCACCTCCAAACAATTCTGTGCAGTAGGCATGGGGCCAAGTCACAAGACACCAGGCTAGTTAGAGGCTGAGCACTCAGCCTCTAATAATCCATGCCACTTTTCACATTTTCAAAAGTATTTTTTCTTAGAAGCCCAACATTACAAATATTTTTTTAAAGAAAAATGTTAAGACTTTATTCAAGATGTATATCAGGCATTATAACAAAACAGCAGAATTTCAACCTTTGGAATACTGTAATTTTACATCCCTTTGATGCACAGTTCAGTGTACTATTTTATTACAGACCGTTCTATAGAGACTACAGAAATAAACTAGGGAAAATATGCACAGTCACAATCCAGAATGTCAGCTCTTTGCATGTGTGCTATTTGAGAATGAAGCACACCCTTTGCCATTTCAAATACTGTGCAAGGTGAAGAACTAGGTCGGTGCTTGATCATGGTCATGGCTGACAAGAACAGTTATCACAAACACATGGACAGATCACTACAGAGAACACACATTTCAAAGGCCAGCAAAGTGAGCAAGCTATTCGCACAAAGCCAGGAGGGATTATGACTAAACTCTCCAGTTTATAAGTACAACACCACATCTTACCTCCTCAGAGACAGAACAGGTGCTCAATGCAAGTAACTAAAGTTGTTACATGAAAATTACGGACTTTCCAGCTAGCAATTTGTAAACAGCCTGTGTCTGTAAATCAGCAAATTAAAAACATTCAGTTATATCCTCTAGACAGAACATCGCACCACTAAGTGTACTCTTGAGGCATTCACATTTTATATTAGTCCATACACAGATATACAGCTTGTTGGATAAGTAAACACATTTTACCAGAAATATGACAGCTGCTCTCAGTTATACAGTGAGTGTTTTTAAGAGAGAAACCAACTCCCTAATCAACACTTGAAGGAAAAATAGTTACATTTACATTAAGACAGCAGTTTGGATACTTTTATATTTTTTGAAATTTTAAATGAGAAGTAATACAGCATGTCTGAGAGTAGAGTGCTTCGAACTTGTTTTTGGCATAGATGAGTGCAATCTTGATAGCCTGTACTTGTTAGAACTTTCCATTGTAAAATGGTGAAAATATAGCTTGTTCTCAGTAAGATTTTAATCTCTGCTGCTAAAGGCATTTATTATTTTGGCAAAAAAAAAAAAGTTGCTAAAAAGCTGCTTAAGTTAAGCTTTTTCTGCACTTGTTTCTGGCAATTCTGAATACTCCTAACTAACAGGTAAGTTCATTTTAAAGTGTATATTTTTCTTCTGTCTGAAACTATTCAGTGAACTTGAAGAAAACATTTTCTGTTTTCCTTAACAGGTTTCGGTATTTGGGGTTGTTTAAATATTGGGGGGGCACGGATAATGAACAGATAGTCTCTATTTGTCCTCTGAACCACAGATTTGCTTTTACATGTATTTTCCTAAATCTTTGTGTAAATTACAAAGTCTCCTTCAGAGGAATTGTGGAAAGAAGGGTCTTAAATCTGCACATGTGGCAACAATAAACTTCAAGTAAAACTCTTTCTAAGGTGACTAAGATCCAGCCAATGTGTCATCAGCAAAGACCACTAATGTATGTTCATGTAACTCAGTAATGGAACAAGTCTTTAGGCCTGTTTGTAACTGGTTAACTGTAAATTCTATGTGGTACATAACACTAATTCTTAGTCTTCAGGGCATATCTATGAACAAACACAATCCAAGTATTATAAAGTAACTGGTTTGTGACCACTGCATGCATTTCACTGAAAGTAAACACCAACTCTAAGCACAAATATATGAGTCCTATTAGGCTCAGCTCTCAAAGGGGAGGGCAGCTACCTCAGACCACAATGCTATTTAGACCAAATTCTTCTTTACAGACAAAATTCTCAATCTAAATAGGGATTGAGTGCTTTATTCTTCTAATAAGCAATACAGGCTTGTATAAGATGTCTATTAACACCTGGCGTGCCTTGAGTGTGAGACTTCTCTCTTATTCACACACCACACAAGCCAGAAAGAGAACTGTCATGTGAGCCACATCTGCCCATGGAGCAAAGCAGCGAGTCACCCATAAAGATCTCAGCCTCTAAAACCTTTCTAGAACCCAGCATTTTGATTGTTGCACAACTGTTTCAGATGCATTTTATAGCACATCTAAAAGTCTAGTTCTAGGTATTGTTTTGTGTTGGTTGGGTTTTTGCTTAGATTTCCCTAAATCAGGTTGCTTAGATTGTAGCTCCCTACTGAGAAAATTAATCACAGCACTGGTTACCAGGTAGGAGAAGTAGTCATTGTCAAGTACTTTTGAAACACATCAATAGGATTCCTCACACAGCTCTGAGAGTCCATATCCCCAAGAAGTTTTTACCAAGGGTGAGCCTCTGCCTAAGGCAATGGCAAATCTCCAGAAAGCATTCAGAAGCTCCTAATCCTGAATCCAAGAGGAGGACAAACTTCCTGCAACTTCTCATTCTAGGCTACACTCTGTTGCTAAAATACTGTCTCTCTTTTTAAGCTTTTCTGGTGTACTAACTGAATAACTGTCTGAAGAGTATGGACCTTCATCTTTCAGGAAAAGGGATGCTTTACTAAATTTGTATTTGGAGGCTTTATAAGCAGATTAGATATTCTCTAGAATCAAAATAATTTTTTACACTTCTGTTTTTGCAGTTTTCTTACATATCAGAACCTCAGGCAGCCCTTGCAAGTCCATTATGTTAAGCGAAAAGCCATAAATATATACATCATAGTCCAAAGTATTAGTACCAAGAACAAAAAAAGTTTTTAAAAAATTGCTTTGTTTGCATTTACAAGACTAAAAAGTATGCAACAAATAAATTACAAATGTACATTGCAGCAGTGTGGGGGGTGATGCTCTTATTTCTAAGAACACTGCTGTCTGTGATGACAACCCAATTGTGGAAAATTACTAACCTCAGAAGACTTAAAGATCATACCCCACACACATACTATCTTTCCCTTTAGCCTCTCTCCAGCAAAATAAAGAAAGGAAAAGGGGGTAAAATCTTAAAAGTGGAAAATGGGAGAGAGAAAAGGCCATGTCTGTGAGGCTGCACACGAAGCACACCAGCTTGCAGATTTCTATGTTATTAGTGAATAGCTCTTTAAGGCAGAGAAGAAACATTCTGTGGATCCGGTGCTGTTGGCTCATCTCACTCACGTGGTTTCAGTGGCCGAGGATGAGGTACTTTTCTTCCTGAAGCGAGATCGAAGAAGTCTAGGCGGTGCCTGAGAGGAAAAAAACAGAAAATGGCATTCCTCAGTGTGGCTGAAACATGGAATCTTTGCCTTCCAACCTGAATGGGTTTGTGTTGTGTTGAGGCCAACTGTGCATGTGTGAGGCGGTTTTCTGGCACTCTTGGCGGGCTCTGAGTTTCCACAACAGAAACCAGACATCAGAATCACATTCCAAGTCTTCCCTTGGAAAGGGAAGTGAACCTGAACCAATTGAGAAGGCCAGTGCCTCCCTCTTCTTGCTTGCTTCATCCCTGGATCTCCCAAGTGAATGGTTGTACAGAAGGATGATCCATTTTTCCTGTTTTTGCCTTGAGAGCAAAATGATCTGAACAAGTGACTCAGCAGAGAGAAATGCCTTCTCATCTCTTTGCCTGTCCTTGTCATTTCTTTGGGGATCTGGCCTTGTGTTTCTCCGTATGTGCTTAAAATTCCCATCACCAAATTTCCAGTCCTCTTTCTGGATGTGAAATCCTTTTACGCCCAGCAGACAAAACAACAAAGGGAATCACTATCTTTGAGTACAAGAAGTTCCACTTCATCTCCCCTACAAATGACAAATAAGGGACCCCTCCTTCCATGGGAAACATAAACCACTGGAGGAGATATTATTAGAACGAAGGAAAAGGAAGATGTTTTCTACCAGTAACAGCACTCAAGAGGGGAAGTGGGGGGTGTCACACGACAGGCCCCAACCTACCCTCAACTCCTATCTGTCTGTTCCTCTACTGAACTTTTTCTACACTGTCCCATCACACCTCTATTCCTTCTGTCTGGAGGCCCTTCCTCCCTTCTCTGTCTTGCTATTTCTAGTCCTCTTTAGCAGGCAGCTTAAAGGCATTCCTGAGCCCCTTCCCCCAGGCTATCACCTTTTTTCTCAGGTGTTTTGCACAAGCTCCATATCAGAGGACTTTGCTCCCTGGGCCATGCGTGCGCTTGCTCTGCCCAGTCTCCCCCCAACCCCTTCATGCCCCATACTGAGCTACCTGAGTCCTTACTTTACTACAAGAAAATTTACCAAAAGCCTCTGGAAGTAGAGTAAAAGAATTATCCGTGAGAAAGTAAAGCAGCTTGTACAACTTAAAAAAATATAAAAGCAAATCTGCACAAACCCTTGGACCCGAGAATGGTTTGGGCACCTTCTCCCATCTCCAGGCTGGCCCGCTCTCTCTACCCTGGGGCTGCCCGGGTAGTAGCAGACTCTTAAGCAGTGTCCAAACCCAGAACATCTTTTTCCAAAACCTCCAACTTCAGAATTGACATATGTGCCTCCCCTTGGAAAGGAACCTGTTTCACCCACAAAATGAAGTGGTAACAATTAGGGTTCTGATGGGAACAGAGACCACAGGCCACTGTGTTCGAGCCGGGGAACCTTTCAGTGCATTTCATGATCAGAGTCGCGCAGGTTCTCCACATGGGACAGAGGGACTCCCACCTGCCTCAGATGGACTCGCAGGCTGGAGTATTCGGCAGATGGGAAATAGGAGAGGAGACATGAGGCAGCAAAGAGAAAGACTTGGGGACCCTGATTCTGCTGACCCTGCACCTGAGTCCCAGGCTGGGGAGTCCCTATCCACATCCCAGCAAGGCCCACAAGGCTCTGGGCTTGGGCCTCCTGCTACCAAAACTCCATCCTCCTCCACAACTGGCAGCAGTACATGTGTCAACAACATTATTGGGAGCTATTTTAAAGAGTTGTGCCCCTTTAAAAATATTTTATGAATATCTACTTTGTATCAGGCATTATTTTATGCCAATGAGACACAGTGATGAACAACCTATATTTACAGAAACTAGTCAAATAACACATTCTGAGTTTTTCTACTCCCTAAATGTTCATTTGGTTGTTTTTCACTCACATATGACCTTAGATTAATATTTGTTAATTTTTAAATTCTAAATGCTATATCACTCTCCTATTTCTAGATGAAATTAGCAGTCTTTTTCACCCCTTGGCGAGTAGCTGGATGCTACCTAGCTGTTTGATTGAGGGAGATCTTCTGATTCCAGTCACTTAAGAGATGTTGGGTGCCCCAAGAGATGTTGGGTGTCCCACGAGATGCCACTCACAAGACCCCCAGACCTCCAGGGCAAAGCCCTTGTGCAAACAAACACATGCTCCAACCCGCAGCCCCAGACACCGTGTACCTCCAGGGGGAGCGCCGTATTTCGAGGTGCCTTATACTTGTACATGAACTCCAGCAGGTCTTCTTCCTCATCATCAGAAAATGCCAAGGGGTTTTGGACCTTGTGGGGCTCCCACGCCTTCACACCACCCTCATTCACATCTCCCTCAACCACTTAATGTCCATTTACAATCTACACAGGAGACAAAGTAGAGCGAGGTGGGGTCAGTGTTGAAAGGAACAAGGAAAGGCAGGCAAATGTATGGTTAGGCACACAGCACACACCAGGCCTGGAAGGTCAGCCAAGGCCTTTGGGTCAGAAGAAGCAGCCAGTAGCCCTCGAACCTCCCTGCCATGGGACTCAGGATTGTGAGACTAGCCACACTGTGCACAGGAACCAGCACAGGCTTCTACACTTCTACATTTACTGATAAGCTTCCAAGGGGCACCCCTCCCCTGGAAGAAGAAAGCCACTGGCTTTACTGAGATGTGCCCCGTCTTCAGCTGTGATGCCACACCAGAAGAAAGAATCTCCTCTAGAGAGGAGAGTGGCAGTGATACCAAGAAGGGAATCACATGGGTTTCTATTATTATATATAAGGGGAATGTTGACAGAGTGTTACACTTGCATATGCAGCCCCAAGCACTCTTTAAGAGACAGGATGTAAAATGCCAGGAAGTCTGCAGAAAGAACCTTAAGCAAAGTTAGGTAGGATTTTCCTTTCAAAGGTCAAATCTTAGAAAAGCAAAGGAGCCCAGGGGAAGGAGACTCCAGGGGTAGCCTTCACCCCAAAAAGACAGAAAGATTTATGTTTTAAACTTCCTGACTAACCCACAAGGAAGACTCCAGAATCAATTCATATCCTGAAAAGCACGGTCTTTTAAAGATGTTCAGTACTTTATTCTATTCTATGTCACCTGGCCAGGTAGTTCTGCCTTAGTCAAGATAGAAAATATTTCCTTCCCATAACCAGCTTATCTGTACCCATTATACATCTTTCTATGCTTCCTATGTTGTTTTTTCCTAGAGTCACAGAATGCAGGGCTAGCAGACCCTCAGACCACCTGGTACAGTCAGACAGTCCTGCAGGCAGAAGCCAGAGCTCTTTCTGGGACACCCTGCTACTTATCCCTAAAAACATGTTCAGCCACTGAAAGTGTTCTAACAACAGGGGATTCACTAACTTATAATAGCACCAGGTGTGAGTCAGGTAAATCTAACTATCTTGAGCCACTTTGCCAGCTATCGCTGCTATACTCCCCAACAGCCAGCAGGAGGCAGCAAGAGAGCATGATTGCCTCAAACCTGCCTATCAAAGCTGAATTGCAAGCTGGGAGTGCTCTGCTCAAAGGCCAAGTCTGAGATCATTAACCTCCATTGATCTTTTTGCTCTATGCTTGCCCCAGCCTGTTTGCACTGGGTTTAGGTTATCCTCTGGTTATCCTTTCCAGAGGATAGGTTATCCTTTCCCTTGCCCTTAGGACTCTTGAATATGAAGACTGGCAACTGCAGAGAACAGAGCCCTCCCTAAACACTCTGACCTCCCCAGTCTGTCACCCCAAGAGCACTTGGAGCAGCCTTGTGCTGCTTGTCTGGTTATCATGTTAGTCTCATTGCTTCATCCCAACAGAAAGTGTCCTGAGCTTCGGAGCTGTGACTGATCATAATTTGAGGTCCCTCTAAGCATTGACCCAGTGCTGAACACAGAGTGGCCACTCACTCGCCAAACTAAGTGGAATGCTGATGTCATCTCAGAGAGCTCAGTGCTCATGCCAAGTCAGAGCTTGACACCCATCCATAAAGAAATTCCTCTGAAAACAGATGCCTTTAGCCAAATAGAAGGGGAAAGAGACAGGCCTGCACAGGACAAAAAGTCCTCAGAGCAAGGTTAAAACCACATAAGAAGCCAAACAGCTCTGTTCCAGCACAAAACCCCACATCCTGGGAAAGGGCTTGGGGACTACATTGGCCACTCCAGCTCCAGGTCCAGGGCTTTCCCTGTACTGATTGCCCTGGGGCTTAGAAGGCAGCCCAAGGTCACCACAAAATCCTTAAGCCAGCCCACTCACTCAATCTGGATTCACGAAGACCAAATAGGGAAGTCACACATGATCAAAATCATCATCATTATCACCACCACCATCATTACCACCTCAGAACTGAAACCAGAATGGCTTTGAGGTTGTTTCCACTGCATCCCTAGACTACAGGGTAAAGAAAGATATGATACTCTGGCCCACTTGGAGTAATGGGTCAAGGGAGCCCAGATATCCAGGAATAAAAAATAAGTGTTGAGCTCAGCAGAGGCTGGGAGTTAAGGGGGTTTAATGTGGGCAGCTAGGGGACTGGAACTAGCTTCAGGCGGAAGCCAATATAGAGAACCTACTAAAAAGAGGAGAACCAACTGTCTGGTCATCTTTTGCTGAGGGGTTTTGCCAAGGAAGTAATCTGTAATATTCTGTCTTACACTTAGGATCCGTGAAAGTAAATATTCTCCACATGCAGAGCCAAGCCTCTGGTTGCCTATTGGGTTGTGGCAATGAACCTCTTAATTGCATTTTCCTCTTTACATTGGCTGAAAGGAAATTCAGCATCTCTGGCAGTCTATAATTTTATGGCATGCATTTAAAATTTTCTTCTCACCTGACTCTGTCTTACCTATCGCCTTTCCCCCAAGCTTCATTTTTTCTTGATTTGTCATCTGTATTTCTACAAACATATGTAAATCCTATTTTGAACAGGAAGTATAAATGAAGAAATAAACCTTACAAAAACATCACAGAAATGGAGAAATAAATGTGACAGAATGATCTAGAGGGAGCACCAGGATGAAGACAGGGACAAGCGGCTGGGCAGAAAATTCAGTGGTGTGTCTCTTCAGCACTCTTGCTCCTGCATCTCTAGATAGTGATAGAAGTTTGGACCCATAAGGTTCTTGCTCCTGGCAACAGGCTGAGAGGTTGTTACTCTCCACATCTGCTGAGCACTCCCAGAGATAACCGGCATAGAAGCATCTCGTGTAAGGTCATGGTCTCAACAATCACCTCAAAACAAAGGTGATGGCAGCCAAGGCCTTGAACCACAGAGCTACCACCAAGCCGCTCAAGTCTGCATGGCCTCTAAGAGAGGGCAGAGGTCTCTGTTGTCTTCCCCAGCAGGGGCGCATGAGTGTGTGGCCTTGACTGACACTGTGTTAGCAAACCTGTCAGCAGAACTACAGCAGGCTGGGAGGCAGCTCTTCTCGGTGGGAGGGCAGAGAAGGAACTGGCTCCCGGTCCTCCCCACACCGCAGTGCAGCAAAACGACCCCCAGGTTAGCAAACACATCCCACACAGCACACGTTAGTGGGAGCCTTTAATGGAAGTCAGCAAACGTGTCTGAAGACGAACACACCCATGTGGAACACTTACATCCGAATTCCCGACAGCCACCGAGGGAAAAGAAAAGAATATTCTGTTAGGGAAGGGTCACTGGAGATGAAATAAACACACGAGTGAACGTACCTACACACGCACACGTACACATGTTAAGGACACTCATTCCCCACACTCAAGCCCCCGGGGGAGGGCTCCTGCTGCTGTCAGGGGAAAGAGGTACTGCCCAGGGCCACACTCAAGCGCAAGGCGGTGCTCTTTCTCCCTCTGTTTTAATGGAGCGAGTAAAAAGAGGTGACTTTGCCGTTTTAAAATCATGTCCCACACACTTGATTTGAAAAAAAAAAAAAAAAGGAAAAATACCCACCTTTATGACTAATCCCAAATGGTAGTACAGAGTGTGGTTTTACATTACATCAAAGTAGGAGGAGAGAGAAGAGAGGAGAAAGGGCAACAGGCATGGAACAGGGAGATAATAATAGCAACATAGAGAGGAGACAGTTGTCGGGGCCCAAAAGAAATCATCCCGTACCCCTCTGGTTCTTCTCGAGCTGGACAAGTAATCCAAAGAGCATCAGACAGATTAGCAAAAGAAAAAACAAGCGATGTAACAACATATGCATGCAGAATTTACATGGCTGTACATTCTAAGAATAATGGAACGGACTGGGACTATTCATCCTGTGTTTTGGGAACTGGGGTGTTAAGGACAGAAACAGGGAGACTTCACATGACAGAAAAGGAGGGGGTGACCTCATCCTTACTCCTGAGAGTAAAGATAAGACTTAAAGAGAAAGGATCTGTTTATTGATAAGCCTAGAAATGGATGCAACCCCAAATTACATTCTTTTAGATCATAAAAGAGGGAGCAGTGACTATTTCTTTGGCAAGGAAAAAGGCCATCAGGTTAGGATGAGAAGACTTCTTCAGGGAAGGGGGAAGGATTTAGGCAAGGACAGAAGCTTCTCCTAGCCTTCAGGGACCCTATTGGTTAACCCCAAATAATCCGTATTCTCTAAGTAATGGTAATAGATCTCCCAAGGCTCAGAGGGCCTTGACTGGCCTCTAGTTCCCATATCCAGGTGACAAGAGGCCTGCTCGGGGTGCATTGAGAAACACCTATCTGACCCTTTGGGGAGACTGATCCCACGGAAACATGCAAGAAACAAAAGGGAATTGTTTAGCAGAGGGGCAGGGATGGAGCAGAAGTGAGGAGATAATGTCCCCCTCAGGTCTGAGAAACAGATGAAAATCATTTCAGGGGGCCAGCAGGGTCCCTCTGACCAAGGCATCTGTGACCCTCTGAAATTCTATCTCACGGTATCACCGCCTGAGATTGGCCTCCAGTTGGTGTGAGACAGAACTCCCCACACCACCAGCTGCTGACACCTTTCAACCCAAAACCTTCATTAGCATAAACTTCAGAGCTGGAAAGGCCCAAGAGATATAGAGCCTGGCACCCTACTCTGGACAGGAGGGAACTGAGGCCATCCTGAGAGACTTTCCCATTGTCACAGAGAGCAATGGAGATTCATCCTTTGAATCATCAGCTGGTTCCTTCCAAGCCAACCTTAGGCTCATAGGTTGAATTCCAGGGCACTGGTGTTGAGAGAGTCCATGTGGGGAACACTGGGCAAAGGCATCCTGGTCTTAACCCTGAACAAGGCCAACCCCCACCTGCTGCCCACTCCCCACTAGTCCCTCATCCCTCAGCTTCCTGCCTGCTCTGGGAGGAGGATCCAGAACTCCCCCCAGGAGCCCTAGACACACCTGATGTCTATATAGCCTGCAGCAGTGGCAGGCTGTAAATTCTATAGGCTCTAAATTCCTATAATCAACTTCAATTATATTTAAATGAGCTGGAAATGCAGCTTCTGGTTAAGAAACCACCAGCAATCACAGAAGGTGAGGGCTTTCCAGAGACTAAGGCAGAGCAGTCCCGTGGGGAAAGAATGGAGAAGGCAGCTTTACTCTCCCGGTTCCCCCAGGTGACAAGAGCCCAGAAATAGAGACTTTCTGAATGGCTCATGGAAATTATAAACTCAACAGCCAAAGGCTGAGAAGGTAGAAATGACCACTGGAATTGCATCTGAATTGCATGGTTGTTTCCCATGAACTTGTACTTGATGACTCGTGTTGAAAATACCTGCAGGCAGTCCCTCTGTTTCTTTTTAAAAATTGAGACATAACTGATAGAGGACATTTATTCGTTTTAGTTATATAATAATGATTTCGTTTATATACCTATAGCACACACGGTTGGTCAGAGTGAGAGCTGGGGTAGGACACTGGTCCTCTGTTCCTCTCAGAACACCCGTCACTGTCGGCTCACTTTACTTTTACAGACTCCAAAACCCCAGGTCTTAAATGAAGAAATTGAGGGAAAGCACAACACTTCTTATAACGCAGCTTATGCCCTGCTCTCTGCCAACAGGCGAGGGCGGGCCTCTGTGGCACCAGGGCTGGCAGCCATGAGGGGCACCACGCCTGCCTTCTTCCTTCCTCACACTAGCCAGCAGCCCCAGGCCAGGGCTGTCCCTCTTGTCTTCTGAGTCAAAGGGTAGTACCTCCACATGGGGAAAACGGGAGCTGAGTTAACCCGGCCCCCAACTCGACTACCTTTTGTGTCTAGTTAAGGTTAGGGAAACTACTGGAGCAGGTCAGGAGAGAGTAACATGGCCAGCTGTGGGAAGGCCATGGCTCCACATCCTGCTCTACACCCAGAGCTGCAAGAGTCTCTGAGGGACGGGGAGAACCCAGGCTCACCCCCTCTCCCTGAGCTCTCCTGGCTGCTTCAGGCTCTATCAATGAAACAATAATAATGACACTTCAAAAAGTCCTTTCACAGCCATGTTCACAGCAGTGCATTGCGGTAAAGCAGGAGATCTGTCTCTACACTAGATGAGGACACCGGGTGGTTAGGTGGCTCACGCAGGTACACAGCTGGTAAGTGGCAAAGCAAGACCAGGGCTCCCTTGGCTGCACCGGGACTGACCCCCTGAAACGGCAGGGTTTCGTCACTTCAGAGGAGCTGGGTAAGTTCCTGTGTCCTCATCACCCATAGCACAAGGAAATAAGACTCTGTGGTGGTTTTAAAATACCTACACACGTTCTTTAATACACCTCCTCCACTCAAGAGGTGGAAATGAATTCCCATCCTCTTGAGTGTGGGTGGACTCAGTGACTCACTTTTAATGAATAGAATACAGAAGTGGTGGTGTGTGATGTCAAAAACCATGTTCTAAAAAGTACTATAGTTTCCGCTTGTCCTCCCTTTTTCAGTCACTCATCTGGGGGGAGGCCAGCAGCCAGCCATGCTCTAGGGACACCCAAGCAGCCCTAGAGAGGTTCATATGGTAAAGGAACTGAGGCTCCAGAGCCAATAGCCACGAGGCAACCATCTTGGAAGTGGATCCTCCAGTCTCAGTCAAGCTTCAGATGACTGCAGTCCTGGCCAACAACTTGTCCACAACTTTCGAGAGACCCTGAACCAGAATCACTCTATTTAAGCTGCTCCTAAATTTCAGCCCAAAGACATGATAATGCATATTTGTTGCTTTAAGGAGTCACCCTCCGGAAATCTCCCCCCACCCAGACCATGCAGCTGAAAGGGAGCCCCAAAATCAGGTACTAGTTCATGGTTAGAACCTCCTCACAAAGCGAGAGTCCAGCACACTGCAGAAAGGTTGGCTGCTTACTCACCTTTCCGAGTCCTGCAGGTGGAGCAGCAGGTACACACTGTGGGGTTGGGGGGGCACCATCAGTGATCTCCCCAACTTGATAGGAACCAGCCCCAGGCAATCAGGGAGGTCCCAGTGAGGTGTGGGAATCCCAGGGTGCTCATTATAGAGGTCTCAGGAACATGGGTCTCATCCCAGATTGAGCTTCTTCTCACATGCTAGAAAATGCCCTTGCATGACCCACGAGGTCAGTTCCTGTATCCTACAGCCCTCATGAAGGCAGGGGTTGGATTAAAATTTCCTTTGGGAAGTAACTCCAGCTACACTTGCCCAGATGTCCTCCACCCTGCATCTTCCAGTTCAGACTGATCTCCAGGAAATATCCTCAGATTAAATCTGTAAACTCAGAAAGTGTTCAGTGTCTGGACATTTGGTCAAAGGCCTAACTGGCTGCTGCCTTGTACATTCCATTGTTCTTGATGCACCTCTGGATCTGGGTATACAGCAGATGTTCACTAAATATATGTTGACTGAGTGTTTCCAAGTTTGTGGAAGTCAAGGATCATTCTTTGTTTTCTTTTGTAAGCTTCCTGGCATCCAGTTCCAGGGGTTCGATAAATGGTATCTGACAAAATACCTCCCAGTTCATTCTGTGGGTTGGGCAATATGTTCTTGTAAACTTCATATTTTTATTTTGTACAATGTGGCATTTATTTTTGGTTTCCTAAATTGTTAGATAATACTGCATTCTCTTTTGTACTTTTTTTCATTAGGCATCATGTTTTCGAGATCTACCTGTATGTACACTGCTGCTTCCAAAGGCTGCATTCAACATCAGGGGCTGCAGCCACCACCTCTTACCTGTTCTCTCCCAGATTGCTTTCAACAACTGCCAGGGTTTGCAAGTGATCTATGTCTATTCTCCCCACAACCTTAAGCCACAAAGGCTGAATAGAAACTATTGTGCCCTTTTTTTTTCCAAAGGAGAAAACTCATCTCGTGTGCCATCCAGGTATCATTCCAAGAAAGGCTCTGAGGTTGAATCTATGCTTAGTGGGAACAGTTGTGCTTGGTGACATCTGCCTTCACCAAATCTCCATGTGAATCTATGCATGTGCTATCTCTACTCAGGCCCAGGATCACCCCACCAGGATGGAAGTCCAGATTCAAGGTTCTTCCCCCTAGAAGCCCACCCTGAGGTCCACCCTGGGGCCTGGCAGGGCACACCAGTCTATGGACCAGGGCATCCTTTGCTAGACATCTCAGGTACCCTGACCCTCAACTCAGTGATTATGACAGCCCACAGCCTCTGACCCAGGTGCCTTGCCCCAGGTTCTGGGACAGCTTTCACCTATCTTTCTTTCTGGGGTGACTTCTATTTTAAGCCCCAGAATAGCTGGGGGAGTGTCACACACAGAGTCCTTACCTTCTCTGCTGGGTCAGCACCTTCTTTTTGTGCCCACTGAAACCACAGGTGCCAAGACCCAAGAGCGGGCAGAGAGGAGAGCCAGGTCATGTTGCAACACAGAGGGTTCTCTGGTTCTCCATGAACTCCACCTGCCAGGCCTGTGACCAGAGAGCTCCTCACTGTTTCTCCGGGGCGTGACAGAGGGAATCACCTCTGAGCCTGAGCCAGAACAAATCCCACACCCATTTCTACCTGGTTCTGATCTGGGAAGATGTTCAAGGTTCAGTAGATGCGTCCTGTCACCTTGTATACCCCACCAGATTTCTCCCTTTCCCACTACTAAGTCGGCCCTAAACATTCCATCAAGGGGAGGTCTAGGCAGAAAGCCTGGATTCTAGTCCTGTGTGACCTTGGTACAGTGCATGACCTCTCTGAGTCTACTTGCTCTGCTTGATCCACCTCTATAAAAAATGACAACATAGAAGCTTAGAGGGAGAGGGACTGTAGGACCACTTCTTAGTTAAAGCAAGAATCCGTCTCAGCACATGATCATTCAACTGTTTTGCAACCTTCCAATGTCAGGGATCTCACTACCTCATTATTTTCCCTGGACACTTTCACATTATAAATTGTATCCATAGTAAGTTAAAAAAAAAATGAGAACAATAATAGTAGCTACTGCCTATCCTCAGGCTCAACTTCTCACCAAGGGTGAATGGCAGAGGTGGTAATCCAGGACTGTTTCCTGCACCCCTTTTCACCTGTACTCTTTGCTGGCAGCACTGGTGCTCAGTTCCTGAGACCCAAGCTCCATTATCTCCCCAAGGAACACTCTGGGACACTGTGAGTCCAGGCCCAGGTCCCTAACCCCCTAATCCATGTTCCTACTCCCTGCAAGGCAAAAACCCACTGATGGATCAGACATCAGTGGGTCCCACACATGACTGCACCTCACATACATGGCAGCACACCTCTGGGCCTCATTCCAGACTTAGTGCATCCTCTGAGGATGGGCCCAGGGCTCTGCATGTTTAAGCAGGTCCTTAGGTCACTCCTGATGCAGGCAACCTCATGCTAGGCATGTCACAATCAGTGGCAGACATCAGAGGTGTGATTTCTCACCTCCATAGGAATTAGACCTCAGAGCTAGTGTGGCCCTTGGTGTGTGGTGGCTAAGGGTGTACATGGTGAACGGGGCTCAGCAATAAGACAGAAATAGTAGAGAAAAAAAGAAGACAATAAATACTCATGCATGGAACAGGGACCACAACAGGTGTAAGTTCTGTGTGGGTAGAAGTAGACACAGTGCTCAAGACAGGTAAGTTCCTCTGAAAAAGTGGGATCAGAAAGGAAAAGAGCAAAGAAAGCTCCCTTGGCCCAGGTTCAGCTGTGCCTGTTACCTCTAGATTTGGCCCAGGTACTACCACAACCCCTTCCATCCCCCAAGTCCCCAAATCAGAAGGAAGAGGAGGAACTCTTAGTGCAGGTGACCTAATCCTGCCACCAATCAGAGTCCCCAGGCCAGCTTCCTGTCCTGGTCTGAGTGGTGTTCTGCCCCTTGGCAGGCCTAGCATGATCTGATTAACATGTGTATATGGGGCAGGTCCTCAGCAAGGGCCTGGTAACATGCCACATGGTATACCAGGCCTCTCTCAAAGGCAGTGAGGTCTAAGGTAGAAAAGAGGGGAAGAGAAATGACACCTACCTGAGCTGCCAGCACTCTCAGAAGCACTCCTGGACATCTTAGGTTGGCCGTGTTTGCCGCTGGCCCGCCCAGACCCTGGTGGTGGGGGCCCTGATGGGGCAGGGGCACCGTCTCCCCTGATGGTGGTGAGGTCCTGCATGCTGAAGCTCCGGAGTCTCTCCGATAAGGCACCCTGTCCCTGGGTACAACACAGGAGGGGGCACATGTCAGAGGCCTGACCCACAGACCATGGGCAGGAGTTGGGGGCAAATTGACAAAGGCCAACGAGGCACTCTGACGGTCAGCAAGGTGAAATCCAGACCTGGAAGGAGGAGTCTGCAAAAGAGCACCTACCCGGTATACTTGGTAGAAGCATGGAGAGGGTCAAGGCCTGGAATGTTCCAGGGCTTCCTGTGGGGCTCAGCAATTATTCTTGGGGTTCCTGCCCCTTCCTTTCCTTCAGATGCCCCCAGGACAAGCTAGACCCAGGGTCAAGTAAATGACTACTATGTGGTCTTTCTCCTCTCCCAGGGTTGTCTGCTGCTTCTCTGAGTTTATATAAATAAAAATTCTTATATACATATTTATTTCTATCTTATTTACATTTTTCTCAGTTTCCAGTGTGCAACAAATCTGGTCAGAAAATCAAAACCTAAAAATCTATGTGCTCAGTCCTTACTCTCTTCAGAGGAAATAAAGTAGACAGTATTTTTTTTTTAATGTATGACAATAACTTCTCTTATCTGTTCACATTACTGTTTTTGAGGCACATATACTTCCATTATCACACTTGAGCTTTATAAAATACCCAAAAGGTAATGAGTCAGGAAGGAAAAAATGATATTATTTTTAAAAAGACAAACTGCTGACTGTAACCATTTCACATCAGAGAAAGTCATAGAATTAATCTCAGAGGGAAGTTGTTCTTTTATGGAGGAAAGCAAGACCAATCATGATGTTATTCTTGTGAAATGGAAGGCCCTTGCTGTCTGGATGAGAGACTTTGTATAAGAGAAAGGATTACAGTGCAGGCTCCAGGATGGGAACTTTACTTTAGGCCTCAGGGGCTGAGAAGGCAGATTGTATTTGGGGGAGAAAGAAACCAGAAAGAGCAGGCGCTGGTACGAGACTGGGGTTATTGAGAATTGGGTTGGGACAGACAAGTCACCACTGGGCAAATCGATGTACTCTGCCACTTTGGAAATACTGGAGGGTGTGCAGACTTCCACAGGGCCCCAGAGCAGTGGTGGGTGGGGGATCAAGTATTTTATTTGGATAACGAAGAAAAGAGTGGCCCACCCAGAGGCCTGAAGGACTTGGGGACCATAAGGCACAAGAGATATGAGAGAACCAACAAATAACATAAAATCAATGAGAGCAGCTAACAAGGCAGCCCTGGGCTTGGGATGGGGCTGATGAAACACACAAGGGCCGCAACAGCTTAATAAGGGACTTTCAGTGTGGCAGAAGAGCTTGGGGGATTTTTTCCATTTTACTTCATGAAAATACACCAATGAAACACAGCATTTCACCAAAGTGACTTTAGTGGAAGAGCCAAATGCAGAATGAGTTGTTAGAGGGAAGGGGGAACAATAGAGCTTGCAGATAGGCTTAGAAACATCAGAATAAAACAAAGATGAATTAAAACATGAAGACAAATTCTTAACCTACCAAACATATAAAAACCATGTCTGCAGGAAACTAACAATAAAAAGAAAACTAACTAAATCATCAAATATATTAGAGTTGTATACCACTAGAAATGTACATCCATGCAAAACAGTGTTTGATGGACAATATGTGAAAAAGAAAACTCACTCTGGTTGCCTCAGACACTGCTCTGGAACAACAGTGCACAAGGGGTCAAAGTGTAACCTTCTACATATTAACACTGGATGGTCTTAGCAGAGAACATGGGGAGGGGCCGAGCCGCCCAGGGTGATCCCCTCCAATCCATCAGCCAATATAGTCCATGATTATTTTACTCAGAAATATTTTAGATGAGAAATAGAATTTAGAAGTAGAATGAATTCTCAAAAGAGGGAGAAAATATTCTGATAATTACAATGGAGAAACTCAGTTAGGTTAATGTAATAAAACCACTTGCTGATTCTTTCATTCTGCTTCCCTTTTATTCATTTATTTCTTCAACAATCATTTATGGAGAAATTTGTATAGGCAAGATACTGTGTTGTTGTTATTAGGAAAGACGAAAAAAATACAGTCTGATTTCTGACGGTAAAAATAACCACAGAGAAGAACTAGAGAAGCTACAGAAGATGAAGGCTATGAACAACAGTTCTGGAGTCCACCTGGACTCAAATTCCAGTTCTATCACTGGGTGACCTCAACCTCTCTTCAACTCACTGTTCTCATCTGCTGAATACCAGCCACATGACAGGATGGTGGTGAGGATTCAATGTGATTATGTCCATAAGACACTCATTACAAAGCCCAGTATGTGTCCAAAAAATGTTCACTATGATGATGTTACTACTGCTGGTGCCTGAGAAAAACACGTTCCTACTGAAATAAAAAATAGAAAGTGCCTTTCGAGCCAAAAAGACCAAGAGGAGCTTCACGATCCCATGGCCACATAAGTGGGCAGAGACTAACTCCATTACACCATCTGCCAACTCTTGTGAAGGCTCAGCAATGTGTCTGAGAGAAAGTGTCAGCAGACATCACACATGTCTGTTTTAGCAAAGCACTCAATTCTACTCGCAGAAGGCAGCCAACCTAGCTCCAATATCACTAACATCACGAAGACTGGAATTGACAGAGGTTAGGAAAGAGAAGGGGATAATAATAGCTCAGTATCAACTCAGTCCTGTCTCAGAGGAAATCACAGTGGCATGAAAACAAGGTTCTTGAAAACAAATTAGCCGGCAAGCGTCAAAACAAACTGAGATGGCAAAAATCAGTATGTCTCTCTCATTTGTAAACCTCTCAGTCCTGCTCAGTCTACTCAAAACCTCACTTCCACTCACTTTCCACAAACCCTGCTCCACCCTGCCACTCAGGCTCTGCTCTAGAGGACCTTCACTTTGTTATTTTGGGAACAACCATGAGCTGATATTTTGCAAGGTTGGGTTCCCTATTTTAAGAAAATGAATTTGGATTCCCTAAATTTGGAAAAGCTTAATACCATCTTTTCTATATTCAATGAGCCGCATTACCATGTTAAAAGCTTCGAGAAATCCTATTGTTTACAGATTGTTTAATTCAGTGTATCACCAAGTTATTTGACCTCAGTCTGGAATATACCACTTGTCGACCATTCAAAAGTCCTTCCCAGGGCCTCCCCGGTGGCGCAGTGGTTGAGCGCTGGGTTGCGAAGCTGCCCGCGGCCTCTGCAGCGCCGGTTCGATCCCCGGCTGCTCCCCGGCCCCCGGAGGAGGGTCCCACATGGCACGCAGACCTCTCCTGCCGCCCGCTGCTCCCCTCAGCAGTGTACTTCGGTCCTTCTGCCTGCTCTGCTCCCCACTCTGCCTCTGGTGAATTCTCTCACCCTCCCGCACTTCTGACTGTACCCAGTGCTTGTATAAACAGAACAAACAAATAAATAAATAACATGCCTCTATAAAAAAAAAAAAAAAACAAAAGTCCTTCCCAGCCCCACTGTTGAATGGTGAGAGAAAATAGATTTCCCATTCTCCCCTGGAGTTAAAGATGGCCATTTGATGCAGTTCTGGCCAATGAACAGTAAAGGGAAATCTGCTAAGGAGCCTCTGGAAACAGTATTTTCTCTTCTGAGAATAGGATATCTCTTCTGATATCCTGTTTCTTGCCTCTGAGTGTAATGCAAGTAGTGTTCCGTGGCTACAAGATCCACTGAGTCATCCACCCAGGGCCTAGATGTCACTAAGTCACTGATGTAATGAAGCATCCACTTCTAGACTTCTTATGAATGATTTTGATCAATTTAAAAACATATTTTTTGTTTCATTTCTGAAATAAGGGTGAGTCTTAGAATTGCTGTTGCTTTGACACGTGAATGCACTTGTTTGTTATCCCCAACTATGGCAGGGATGGACAACTGAAACCCCTAAGTGCTCCATTAACAAACCATTTAAGAACCACTTAAGGAGGAAATGAGTCCAGGTTGTCAAAAGCATCTTCCATTGACACCTTCTAGTGAGATCAAGAAAGTGGTAGCACCAAACTTGCAGAACAGGCATTGCGGCATGGGTTAAAATCCCAAATTCAGTATTTCTGCACCAAGACTGTGGAAGATATGGACAGGGATATGCATGGTCATAAATGACACTGATGAACTGAGTTGAAAAGTGATTCTGAAAAGTTACTCTGAAAGTGAAGAAGTGAGGTTAGGGAGACCTCAACCAATTTATGTTCCTATACATATGTGATATACAAAAAAACTATGCCTATCAAGTCTAAAGAGACTTTTGAATAAGTAGAAGTAAAAAGCCTAAGTGAAAAGGCATTACACCTTAATATAATATAAAATTGACAATATTTTCTCTTTTAGCAGTTTGTAAAAAAATGACATGGCTTAGAAACCTCAGCATTTCACATTCAACACAATATGGCAGCACTTCTCAGTGAAGCTTTTTCTAGTCATTTCAGGCCTGTCATGTTCTCAGTGCAGTCTGTACTTTGTTGTACAGATTTTCCCACTATCCAAAAATAGAATGTTCCTATTTGGTATGATTTGTTATTTTGGGGGTCCTGGAATGCACAAAAATTAGTGGTAATAGTGTTGTCAGACCCCTAATTAACTTAACAAATAGGAATCAAGAAGAAACTTGATTTCCATACAATTCTATCTCACCTTTGGCCCTATATGTTGGATTGCCTTCCCTATGGATTGTTCATTCACTCCTGCAGCCTTAGTACCTGCCACTCTACCTGATATATATCTGGGTCAAGAAGTTGAATGGTTAGACATATGACCATTTATCACCCATGGGAGTGATGGGGACCTAGTTAGACTATGTTAATAGCCAGATGACTAAATTCTATTGGGAAAAACTCCTGCTGATAGGCTGTAGAGTTTCTTTTAAAACAACTGTGCCAGTGGGGGGCAGGGAAAGGAGTAAGATTTATTCTTCACTCTGTTTTCTTTTGCACTTTTAGGAATTTGTACCATGAACAAGCATTACCTTTAAGAAATCATGACAATTTCATTTTTAGCAACATTCAAGCACTCTCTTAAGACCACCTTGCGGACCCCAT